GTGGAAGGTGTCAAAGCAGTTTGGAGAGAAAAACAAAGTAAAGAACAACAAAAAAACGATTAATCGATTATTAAATTAGTCATCAATTATTTTAATAATCGATTAGTTGTCGATTAATCGATTAATCGTAACAGCCCTACTTTGAACACAGCGTTTGTCAAGTTCCTTTTGAGATGTGCCTGACAAGAAAATAAATACTGTTTGATGATCTTTTCATCTGACACAACAAGTTTTTTCTTTCTCTCCTTTTTTTTTTAGTGTGCAAAAACATTTCTGAACTTGATGGCCCACATCTCCAAGGAGCAGACAGTCCAGTACATCCTGACTCTGATTGATGACACTCTGCAGGTAAACAGGCAGAAACACTGGTTTGGAACAAACGGGACAGGTATAAATAAGAAGCTAAATTTATATAAACATCGATTGAAAGATCACACTGTTCTCTTCTCAGAAAACACAGATTTCATTCAAGTTTTGCAGACGTTTCACAAATCTATAAAAAGTGGTAGACAAATAGACAGTAATTTTCCACTTTTTTTGTATCTTCCCCAAAAATTATATTTACATTTTTAGAAGGAATATCTTCCCCTTTTTTGAGAGTTAGATTTCATTTTCTTTTTACATCCTAATATAAGAAGATTTTCTCGTTCATTTGCTGCCAACGATACATTTATCTTTACGCTGTCAGTTTGATTTACAAGTTTACAGACCAAATACTCATCCAAGATTTTACTGGACTTGTCACTCAGGAGAACCATCAGAGGGTGAACATCTTTTTTGACTACGCTAAAAAGACCAAAAACACCGCCTGGTCCTACTTCCTTCCTATGCTGAATCGTCAGGACCTGTTTACTGTTCATATGGTAAGCTGMGAGTCACAACATTATCAACACCAGACAAGCCAAGTAAATAACCCTGATAACTTACCTTGACAGCTGTAAGTGTTTTTGTGGGTTAGGCAGCGAGTCAGGTGTAAGATATTGATGCTGTTGTGTTTGCAGTTGGAAAAATGAACAGGTAAAAAGATTTAAGTGTCAGTGCTTGAAGTGGTTTATAACTGCTAGAAGTGGTTACAGACAGGTCTTTCAGTAAATTGACAGGTCACACGTGTTCATGGAAAGAGAAGAGTGCACGTAGTCCTGTCTGACAGAAAAGCCACTTTAACACAGCTATAAAAATATCACCTCTGGCTTGTTTCAGAGAAATTTCAGAGAAMATGGTGCACTTTGGGTTTTTGAATATAAAGAAACAGCAAATCATTAGTTTATGTTCATTGTGCGTTTTAACTTGAGCGTGGGGTCAGTAGAAGAAGGTATGTGATGGTTTTTGTTTTGGTTGCATTGTGTGGATGACCAGGCATGTGTTGTTTAACTTAAAAAAATAAAAGCAGTGAGTTTGCGTACAGGAGGAAGACAAACTGACAAACCCAGTGTTCTCCTAAAAAAAAAAAACTTTAGTCCTGCTACACACACATACACACAGGTGCTATTTTCACACATTTCACAATGTGACAGAGGTGCTGAAATATTTAACAATGATGAGGAAAAAGAGAGAGATAGAAAAAGATAATAACTCAAAGGAAAACTAAACTTCCAGGACTTTTAGAAACTTCTACTTGATGATAGATAAAACTAACTTAGAAAAAATGTTTTAGTTCACAAAACATAAAGTCTGCCTATTATCCACATCTAGATGATTTATTATTATTATTATTATTATTATTATTATTATTATTATTATTATTATTATTATTAGTGTTAGTGTTATTTAAATGTACACAAGTTTTGTACAAACGTCAAGCAGTCTTAGTTTAGGTACGATAATAATTTAAAAACTTACCTGTTTCAAACCATGAATAACCCCCTGAGAAACCAACATTTGTACTGATGCTGCTGCGGAAGAGGAACATGTGACTGCTGACTGTCACATGACAGACCGTGTTGTAGCTGTTAGCACAACACAGCAGCAGGGTAAGCACCTGTTAAAGGGTAATTGTTTAAGATAATAATTTGACCAACGCACTTCTTGTCAGGCTGCAATATATTTTATTTTATTACCCGTGTAGCACTTATTATGTCGACGGTTTATGTTTTCGAAGCAAATAGCACAGTTGTAGGGTTAGCATCCTCAGCTAGCGTTGGTTTCGAGCTAGCCCTAAGCATGCTAACGGTGTTCGTGTTTCGGTAAAAATGATAAATGTGGCTGCTTTGATTGCTTTAAATACTTCGGGTTACAGTCTGGTTACTGTGTAATGCTACTGTCTGTGTATAGTGATATATATTATCCCAGTAGGATTATTCGTAAATAGTCGTGACATTGATTTGGTTAGYTAACATGACCTGCTGACGCTAGTAGGAGCTTTCTCTGTTAGCTTCCCAAAACACAGTAAAAAGGTAATATTACAAATTATTTAGAGCTTTAAATAAGCCTATATAAGCTGTCCACTAGGCCTACCAATCATGACCTGTTGTTAAGAGTCTTTGCAATGAAACTAAACCTACCATATCAATTTCTGTTGCTTGTTTTCCCACAGGTGGTGTTTTTAATTATATAAACTCTGTAGTGAACCTATTACAAGATGGATATTCGCGGGGCTGTGGACGCTGCAGTCCCCACCAACATCATTGCTGCAAAGGCAGCTGAGGTTCGGGCCAATCTGGTCAACTGGCAGTCCTACCTGCAGTAAGTTCATGAACAATCATTATTATCATGTTCCAAATTATTTATTTACTTCCTTACTTTTTTGTTGATTCTGTTTCATTCGGCATATAACAAAAATGTAGAAATGGCAGTACATGTACTGGTGAATTGTTTTGTTTTGAGGCACTTATGTTACAAATTCGGCTGCTAACATTAATGTGTCGATATGAAATAGGTTTTTATGTCTAGTTAAAATGATATGTAACTTCTTTGTTCCATATAATATTCAGCACATTTTTACTGACAAAATTGTATTTTTGCGTTGTTGTTGTTGTTGTTTTTTAGTATTATTGCATTACAGTCAAAGCTTAAACATGTTATCAACYCATCTGACCTGTCAAATCACTCTTTCTGAATGTAACTGGGGAAATAATTGCAGGTCTGTTGCAGTGTGATTTTCTAAAAGCAGCTSTCCTGATAACCCTGCACTGTGATTCACTGTCTTGAGTGATACTTCCTCTTTTAACTCAGCTGTTTCAGTAGAACGGTTCAAATTTATGACCCATAGCCAATTTTTTTAAACCACTTTATGTCTGTGTCCTGAAGTTTTTATTCTGTCTATAAGCACATCTTTGCTGTTGATGTTACAGACTCAGCTGTGTTCATCTAAACTAGAACACGTCACATGTCGATGCTACTTATTATTGCTTAAGCTGCCTTTTGCAATTTTATACATCATGTCGGAGTTAAAAAAAACCCACAAGTGTGTCAGTGGTATGCACGCTTTTATCTTGCGTCAACAGTAAAATTTAAGATTCTTTGTGCTTTTTCAAGTTCAAGTATCATTCAGCTGGATTGGTGACTTGTTTCTTATAGTCTCCAGAGACAAATAAGTACAAAGAATTTGAATTGACACTGAATTGCAGCAGTGTTCTAACATTTAACTGTCATGATATGTTTGCTTGGCTTGCAGGAGTCAGATGATCTCTACTGAGGACTGTGAGTTCATTAAGAAGTTTGAAAAAGCCAACTCTGAAGAGAAACAACTCATTTTGACCAAAGAAGGCCACCAGGTAGATATTCCCCTCGCACTTTCTGCAACACCTGTGTTTGTCAACGTATTGTGCTTATTCAAGCCAAACCATGGCAGTATGTGACAGTTGCAACTCTTAACTTTGATATAACACAAAGTATAGAAGCGTTAAAGTGTTTTAGGGCCCTTTCAGATACAGTGATTTTAAACAATAAAATATTTACCATAATGCCTTTGCCAACACATGAGAGAGCTTCGATTTGAAAATGTTTGACTTTCTCGTTTAAGCTGTGTTTCCTTCCTGTACCCAACACTTAACACGTCCTTCTTGATTCAGCTTATTTTTTTAAGTTATCATAAAGCTAAAAGATCTCTGCCAACTGTGAAAATAATTTTTATAAAGCTTTGAACTAGTGCTGTACAAATGATTATTTTCTAATCGATTAATTTAACGATTATTTTTTCGATTAATTGATTATTCTAACAACAAATCTATAAGTTATTCTGATGTGAGTGCACTGGAAATTTAAAATGTTTTCATCAAATTAACAAGAACAGTTCTTTAATATTGTAANCAGCCCCACAGCATGATGGAACCACCACATGTTACTGTAGGTAGCAGGTGTTTTTCTTGGAGTGCTGTGTTCTTTTTCCTCCATAACGGCCCTTGTTCTGCCCAAATAACTATTTTAGTTTCATCAGTCCACAGCACCTTATTCCAAAATGAAACTGGCTTGTCCAAGTGTGCTTTAGCACACCTCAAGCTGCTCTGTTTGGGATGTGGGCGGAGAAAAGGCTTCCTCTGCATCACTCTCACATACAGCATCTCCTTGTGTAAAGTGTGCTGAATAGTTGAACGATGCACAGTGACTCCATCAGCAGCAAGATGATGTTGTAGGTCTTTGGTGCTGGTCTGTGGGTTGACTCTGACTGTTCTCAACATCCTTCACTTCTGTTTACTCCAGATTTTTCTTTGTCTGCCACTTCAAGCTTTGACTGGAACTGTGCCTGAGGTCCTCCATTTTCTCACAATGTTTCTCACAGTGGAGACTGAAAGCTGAAATCTCTGCGATAGCTTTCTGTATCGTTCCCCTAAACCATGATGGTGAACACCCTTTGTTTTCAGCTCATTTAAAAGTTGATTTGAGACTCCTATGCTGCCGCTCTTCACGGGTCACTGAACTAATCAAACCAAATTTGAGTTCCAATAATTAGTTCTAAAGGTTTTGAAATCAATAAAATAACAGTGCCCAAGTTTATGCACCTGCCTAATTTTGTTTAACCAATTATTGCACACTTTCTTTAAATCATTTAAACTTCATTTCACTTCTCAAATATCACTGTGTTTGTCCCCTATATGATATGTTTTACTGATTTTTTTTTAATCCAAACAATCATGATTTATAAAGCTAAATCAGGAAAATTAACAAGGCTGCACAAACTTTCGCACCCCACTGTATATTAACGTCCAGTCAATACCATTTTCTAACAAACTCCTGTGTGATTACAAACATAACTCCTAAAATGTTTGGAAGAAGATTAAATGGTTTGTGTTTTACCATTAACATGACATTTTATGGAGCAATYCAAACAGAACATTTAGGAACTTTGCAGTTAGGAATTGATTTCTTATTAGCAGTCACTTACAGGTATTTTCTTAGRTTAGTTTACAGCTTCATTAAACTGTGTTGTTTCCAGTACTAACTAAATATATGATTAGCGACGCAAATGTGAAATATAAAAAAAAATCRGCACATCTTTTACCTATAAAAAAMCCCATTCCTGGTGAAAATGCTCCTATTTTGTTGTATGCATAAGTCTGAGCTCAGAACAGTGTTGTAGTAAACAGTATGTCTACAGAGGTCTGCTCTATTAATACCTATAGTTTGACYTTAAAACTTAACTGCAGCATGGTATTTTTAGGAAAAGACACAAGATGATAAAGGGGTAGCATACAGAAAATAAAAACAATAAATAAAACAAGTAGTTTCACTTGGTAAATAATTTTTTTTCACATCCATTAATTTTTAACAGCCATTTCTGTTTCTAACCTTAGCAAGGCATCAATAATTCCTCACAAAACAACCTTCTGCCTTTTTTTTCTCAGAAAATGGTAATTGATGTAATGATCTGTCTGCCACTCCTGAGTCCAAGAWTGACCAGTTAATGACAAGCCTAGTAGCATGACGGGGCGCTCACAGACTAATTAAGAAAACCGTCCTGATGGTTTCCAGCAGGTGGACACAATGTGGCTTCAAGTGTGTGACACAGCACTTAACTTGATCCAAGCGTCACGCAGAGTCTAGCTTTTAGATTTCAGCCTCAGTGTTTCCACACATCCTCCCTTTTGCAAGGTGGTAATTGGATATCAGAATTTGTTTCTGTCTCATCACAGGGCAGGCAGCATTTACCAAGCTAAAATTGTTTATGAGTTATTAACTTGTCCTCGGTAATTTTTTGCTTTAGATGGAAATTGAGCTACAGTCTTTACTGTTTTTTTAAAGCACTTCTTGACGATCTTATAAACAACACCTCTTATTATCTCTGTGTGTGCTCAGACTTCAACTCGCTTATCTCTTTTTTTATATGTGCCTGGAATTTAAATCAAAGACCTTATCATGTGGAGTGCCAAGGACAAGCTAAAGTTRGCACTCTGCTTTAAGGTTATTGTCACAGTAGTGCTCTTTCACAAACAATGCGGTAAAACAAACCTGCTATAATTGGTCTACAAGTTTATTCAGTCCCACTGTGGCTACATTGAACTTGTCAAAGCAACCAATACACTACAAAGTGTTAACTATTTGAGGTTGTTTCAAARTAGTCTTGATGCATTTTATTAAGGCTGTGTTTAAAATGTCTGTTGTCGGCAGACACGCGCACACAGAATATAAAAGCCTTTCTTTAATATGTTAGGCGGCGAGGATCATCGCTAAGCTGGCTGCCTGGGGYCGTGATCTGATGGAGGGAAGTGATCTGAACTACTACTTCAACTGGATCAAAAGTCAGCTCAGTTCACAGGTATGAGAATCCAAACTGAACTGAAAAGGTTTGAATTGTAATCTAAATTATTGGGATACTTTTAATTTGTAAAGTTAAATTGAGACAGTACAATACAGTACAATGTCTGTGAACAAAGTGCATTTTCAATTATTGATAAACTATTTAAAAAAGTGTTAATGTTACTATTAAAAGTTGTTAAATGTATTTCTGTAAAGGTTCATATTTTTGAGAATATACTTTACTTTAGCTTTAAAAAAAATATGAAATCCATTGGAATTTGTCACGTAACATAAATTAACATCTAATTTTGTGGCCGCATGTACACACAGTTGACTTATTTTTTATGTCTCCTTTTTTCGCAATTGCACACCAATACTTTCTGCTTTAGACTCTTAATTCCTCCTTTTCATTATTTTTAATGCATTCCTTTTTCCAAAGATGTTAATCATTTAATTAGCAACAAATATTCAGAATTTCTGTCAATGAGTTTTTTAAATGAATATTTGTTCTGTTTTAGATTCAAAATAAAATCTTTATTCAAGTTAATTTGATGAATTCATTTATGCTGGTTTTCATCAGACTGTCTAAACCTTTAAATGGGCTAATAAGGTCTTACTAAATGCTGGTTTTGCCTGCGAGACTTATTGCACCAAAGATTTGATGGTAAAAGAAACACTTATTGATTTTTCAGTTCTAAACATTTTTTGAAGCTTTATTTTAATGCCTTTTTTTTTTATTTAAAAATTTTCACGTTTTTGCCAGTTATTTACCCAAACGTCTTTATAGAAGTTGCGTTTTGATGATTATTTTCCCTCCTCAACACATCCAGGGAAGGAATCAGTGTGCATCTGCTGTTCCTGGTTTCGTCTGTGGTCAAAGCACATTCTGCGTGTTTCTCTGTCGTTGTGACTCAGCTCAAAGTGATGGATTGCACTTATTTTGTTTATCTTTTGTTAGAATCTACATGGTACACAAACAGGAGCAGGAACTATTTCCCCCAGTGAAGTGAGTATGAGTGAAGTGACTCCCGACACCTGAGGGGGGAAAAGAAATAGAAAACAGCAGGGTTTGTGAATCAGGCTTTTGCCTGCAGTGACTGGACTCTCAGGTCTTTTCTCACCCATCTCCTTGTTGCACTCCAGTGTTTCGTTAATAATTCCAGATAGTTGGAGACGCGAGTCTGTTGACACGAGAAAGAGCCCTCCATTTAGACAGCATGATGTTTGCTGCCACGAGTTGGTCTTAAATGTACTGGTGGAAAATGCATGCTGGAAGCCCATCCCCCCTAATGCTGAAGGCGCATGACAAACAGCTTTCTTTGAACATTAGACTAACGAGAGAAAATTGAAATAGCATTTGCACCGCAGCAGCAGCAGCATCCCACCATCTTGAATCTCATACTTTTCCAAGCATACCCCAGTTATTCTGAGAAGTGCGCTCAGAAATGGTGTCCATGAAAGCTATCTAATGACCTATCATTTCCTTTTCCTCGGCATTTTCAACCAGGGAACGTCTGCCCCTCTGCTCTTCTGTCTCCATCGCTGCCTGAATCTCTCACTGGACTTGTGATTTTACTCAGTCTTTCCTAAATAACAGATTAATATGATCTATTTTTCCCTCTTAGCTTCCTGCTCTTTAATCTCACTTTACATTCTGCTCAGGTGTGATTGGACTCCTTCCCTGCTGTTGTATTGTAACGTTTTGTGTGATCTGGCATGTATTGGTGTATACATTTGATTGACTGCATGAGCGCTGCCTCAGGTTTGTTACGTGATGCTAATGCAAACTTTAGACTGGTCTTTTGTGTGTTCTCTCTTTTTTTATTCCACTGCTCGACGTTTCAGAATCGCTTAGAAACACTTAAATGAAAAATTTAAAAGTCAAAGCAACTGGACTTCTATTCTGCAGCCGAAGACGTTTCCCTTACCGTCCAGGGAGCTTCTTCAAGTCAAAACTGGACAATGCAGCGAAATGTCTCAAACTGCAGAATAAAGACTCAGTTGCTTTGATTTTTAGACTTGAGGATTTACCATGTCCTGGATAACCGAGAGTCTACACCAACCCATTTAAAGGACTTGACTTTCTAACTTTTTTTTTTTTTTGCCCTGGGTTTGGATTTGCTTCTGTCTTTTTCAGAGCTCTCAATATGTCCAGTGTGTGGCTGGGTGTCTTCAACTGATGCTGAGGGTCAATGAATACAGGTTTGCCTGGGTGGAGGCTGATGGAGTCAACTGGTGAGTGATGATCCTTTTTGTTCAAGGTTGCTGCAGTTTTTTGMAGTCTATGAAAAATGACACACAGAGGTGAACAAGAGTTTGTCTTTAACCGGGCTGTCCTCGTGGTTTGATATAAACATGCCCCATCTGGATAAGAATATTCCTTGTTATGACTCCGGTAATGTCATAGAAAGTTTTACAAATAAGATGTATTGACAGCATAATCATATTGTATGACACAATGAAGCCCTCATGCAGCGATACAGAGCCGGTAAGTTCTGTACAATGTTCTCTTTTATATCCACAAGTTTCTGTAAAAGTGTCTGTAGGCTGCCATGACAGGCCGCTTGTCCCRTCCCCCCAGTGTCATATTTCTGGTACGCAATGCGAGAACCAGAGTTATGATAACAAAACCAGTTCGTTTTTGCTTTAACTGGCAGCTTGAGCAGTTCAGTCGCGAGTTCGGGTTCARCGTCTGTTTTTGTYGGCTGCCACAACAATTGAAGAAAACTGAGAAACGCTTTAGAAACATTTTGCCTGGAACAAGAAGTAGGAAAGGCATGTTCACCACTGAAGAGAGTTAGTTTGCTCTTTTCATTTTATTGACAAAAAAGCCCACAGATATACGCCCTCATCAGAGCTCTATCTGGGCTGAGACTGGCCACCAAAGGCGGCTYGTCCGGACCAYTGGCAGTCAGACAGCTTCCAGCAAAATCAACTAAAACCCCACATCTGTGCCTGGTGAGTGAAATTGTAAATTTGGTTTGTCCCCGTTTCACTATTTAGGCCTGAGTCACACTACAAGATTTTAAAGCAGTCGGCYGATTTTCAAAGACTGAACGAGCCCACACGTGAAGATAAAAAATCATGGAACTACCAGGTTTGGTCCTACAGTGTGTGGTGTGCAGCCACATGGCAAGAGACAACACACCACACATAAAAAGATATTTCATTCATGAACATTCAGATGTCAGATTTTAAATCACGCAAGACTTTCTGAAATCTCACGATAATTCATATGTCCAAGGAAAAATGTCACGTGACCTCCAGAGAGACGTGAGTTCAGAGTAAATAAACATTTGCAACAAGGAAGAAACAATGTTGATCATTTGTGGACTATTTTTACCAGAGGAAAAACAATTCCATAGGACCCTTATCATCCAGCAGACTTTCTGGTGAGTCATGACAGTTTTTTGTCTTCTGTATTTTGGAGTCCCCTCCATGTTTATGTCACCTCGCTTTCTGATTGGCCACACATCTCATTCACAGACTGAGAGCTCAGGTGAACACTACACACATTGTGACATCGGGCCAAAAAACCAAACATGTTGAATATCTCCRATTTGAGGTCGGAGCGGTCCCGACGTCCTTCCGAGCCGACTAGATCACTCTTARCTCACCACCCACGGTGGGAATATCTGCTATGATTATCTTTAGAGCCATCACGATAATCTGGACTTCCTTAAGATGTCGGAAGGGCAAAAATAGGCCTGATTTTTTTGTAGTGTGACTCAGGCCTTAATCGTGAAGTTCTTTGCTTTTACTAAATGAAAGCCTAGCTACTGTTAGCCTGGATGTTATTTGCAGCTAAGTCTCAAATGTAAAGAAATATTAAGCCTATGGTTAGTAGCCGCATGCTGGCAAAACTATATAAATGGCTTAATTTAACTGTCTTAATTCTGAGTAAGCTGGGAATATTGAACAATCTTCTTCCCAAATACAAACTATTTTGTCTACATGGCAGGATACAAAGATAAAGAAATTAGACCCCAGAGGCTATAAGAAATATGCTATATGCTATTGTTATATGCTATTTTTTATGCTATTTTTGTTTTATCGTTTATTTAAAATAACTGCAGCTGTATGAAACCCTCCAGTTGAACTTTAAAAGTTATAAGCRWTGGTGAAATTTATGTTTAGAATAGCAGGAAAAAAAGGCTAATCAAAATACTTTCAAAAAATTATTACAATTCTGGGGGCTTAGGAACATTTTACTTCTAGAACTGTTGACATTTATGATTTTGCATTTGTGTGTGTCTTTGGGAAAGACGAGGTAGATAATGTCAGTAGTAGCTAACATCGGGCCATAGCTTCTTCATGTCATTGACCCATTCCGTCAGCAGTGACGGCTGAGCCACTGTTAAAGATTTGTTCTTGCCGCTTTTTAAAACACACTTACAGTATATACACCTCTTATGTGTTGGCATTTATGTCAAATTTCAGAAAAAAATACTTTGATAAACAGCGRTGGTGTATCCCCGGAATAGAGTGCAAGCGGAAATATAAAACCAACTTCCACTATGAATTATGGGTAGTGATGCATTATGGGTAGTGACGCAAAATCAGGAATACTGTGAATACAACATTAATAAAATTTATTGTTGTGCTTTGATTTATATTCTTCCTAAACAATCTGATACTAGTCAGCTGCTCTGATTTATATCACTCTTTAAAACAGCTTAAATGAAGTAGACAAGAGTATTGGTATTTCATCTTTTTTATTTTTTGATTTTTACCAAACACACTCAGCACTTCTGTTGCATTCTAAAACCACAAAGCCTTCTGACRTAATGTAACACACCCCAATTAAATATCTGCTCTAGTTAAAGTTCACATCAGACTTCATCCATAAAATGCTGACCAGAATATTTCTAAGCAGACAGTGCAATCGCCAACCTTTGATTAGGCATGTTTCTGGTAATGATGACTCATCTTTTTGTATTTTTTTTTAACATAGATGGATGACTGACTTTTGTTGTGCTTTTTTTTGACAATTCCATTGAGTATTTTTCAATTAAAAATACATTTATGGCTTTCAAATTGTTAATAACATTAGCTAAAGCTGACCTAAAATTAGTCTATTAGACTAATTAGTTTATTAGAGTGTAAACCCAATCGATTATTCCAAATAAATGTCTTTATTTAGCCACAACTGGCAAGASTAAAAATCCTAGCGTAGAAGTCGAACACTGACTACAGCTTGTTTCTTTCTGAGCTAAGCTGCATCAGCTCTAACAGCTACAATATCCGACTGTTTACAACCTGATGACATGCTGTGAAGAAGTACTCTGACAGRCTGATTTCAACCCTTTCATTGCTAKACTWCAAGTGATTCCTGTATTAGTTTTTTGTGCAATTTATTATTAGTTTCTTACTTTGCAGCCTGCTTGGAATGAGCCTAATGGACAGATATTGCTTTCAAGTTTATGCTTTGTGTTTATGCTTTGAGCTGTGCGTTTTTAAAGAAAACCATTCTTCTTACAATGAAAATAAAAACTTACAAATGACGGGTACACTTACTGGATATGTCCTGGAGCGAAATTTCCTAAAGCAAAATGCAGTTAAGGCTGTGTGGSCCTGAAAAGTAAAAGGAGGCTTTGAATTCCTGCTTTTGCTAAAGTGACATTTAGTCAGAATGGTTAATGATGATCACATATTTRACATGGCTCCACTCTTTGTTCTTAAAAATTGATTGTAAAACCAGTCTTACTTCAGAACTTTTGAGATAATTATTGGACTTCTGTATGGTCCACATCTCAGCACTTAACAGCCATTTATCTCTCTGTCTAGTTGTGGGCTTCAGTACTGTACCCTGCATTTTAAGCAACTCATCCATTATCTAAAAACTGTCTGAATGTTTCATTTTCGACTMTAATCAAAAATAATGGAGGTGCAGCATGTAGGTACACAGCTGTGAAAGCTCCTCTGAGTAAACAGGCATTAGTTATAAATGTGTGTCCTCTTGTCATCACTTTGCTCTTATTTTACCTGTTTTAGTTTTTACTTACCTTTAGTGTTTTTTTTTCTTTTTTCCCTGTTTCAGTATCACAGCAGTGCTGAGCAACAAGTGTGGCTTCCAGCTCCAGTACCAGATGATCTTCTGTATATGGCTCCTGGCCTTCAGTCCTCAGCTTTGTGAACAGTTGAGATGCTACAATGTGGTGCCAGCCCTGTCCGACATCCTTCAGGAGTCAGTGAAGGAGAAGGTCACTCGAATCATCCTGGCTGCCTTCAGGGTTAGTGGAGTTTTTATTTTTTCTGAAATTTGTTCCACTTAAGAAAAAGATTTAAACACACTGAACAGTTTACCTATTTTTTTTGTTCTGTGTATTTTACAAAAACTAGAGTGAGTCTAAACTGCGGCTTCAATTATCTTTACTGGTTGTCTTTTTTTCCTGCTATTCTGTTTATTATTTACTACCACAGCTGGCAGCTATTTTCAGTGATAATCCGATTTTCATCAGTAACCAAAACAAACCACAAGCTGATGAACATAGAAGAYTTATCAGCTTGAATAACAGATTTTATTCTGTTGATTAGTAAGAACTGAACTTATAAGTAAATATTAGACTGACATTTAKTCTGTGCTTTGTTCAGAATAAATGAAAAGAAAGTGAACAATGAAATTRTRCTGTACCTGATAGACACWTTTTGTTTGTTTTTAGCTATAAGAGATTGAAAACCGATGTATTGTAAGCATAAAACTCGCCAGAAACGCATGTTTGTCATATGTTTTTTTTGTGCTTAGAAACATGAGCAAACGTTTCAGCAGAAGTGACATTTTTCTTGTGCATTGACCCTCTGACATGCAGTAAATTAAATGCCTGTTGACATAAATTAATTGCCAGTTGTAGCATACAGGTACTGGAAGGCTATTTTATGCCTACTTGTGTTCACCAAGCAGTAATTAATGAATGAATATGTTAATTAAAATTATAATTGTGTTTGGTGCTGTCATGTGGTCACAGTAGAGGAGTTACATACTGGAGTTCTCCCTGGGTGAGTTGTTGAAGTGGCAAAAGAAAATGACAGCATTAAGGGTGGGTTCACACCAGCCTTGTTTAGTCTGCTTTAATCAAACTCTAGTTTGTGTTTGTGGAGGTGTGAATCCRTWATCGAATTCTGATACGGACCAAAAGAAGCAAACTCTCCTTGGTTTTTGACATTTTGTGGGCCGCATGATGAGGAGCCTTAGAATTGGGACRGTACTCTTGGCRGGGCAGTGACGTATGCAGCTGACAAATGYGCACTCATGAGGATACAGYCAATGAATTGAAACACAGTCTCTATKTTTATTTATACTTTAAGGTCAACAGCTTTGTGTTTTTCAGCATAAAGAATTTACCTCCTGCCATAAATTCAAGTTTTTGTATGTTTTTCCAGTTCCTGCACAGTGTTTGAATTTTTGCATTCAACCATGTGTTTAACTTTTATATAAGAAGAGGAAACTGAAAAAATATTCTCTTAAAAAAGACAAATGATCCCATAAATAAAACTTAACATGATTTATGAATCCGCTGCCCTCTCAGCTTCCTGCTGTGATTACTCAGAACAACTGATAAATTTTTAATGGTGTCCTAATCATTGCGTTCTGGACTCTGGTTTGCTGTTTTGAATTATGCTAGGTAATGAAATCCCTGTCATTATGTGTTAACCAAATTGGATCAGCGTGAAAGGCCCTGTTTGTCTTTGCAAGCTAAGGTGCTTTCTAACCATGGGAAGTTGGTGTGGCTGACAGGCAGCTGCTGCATATCTGGAGCTACAAAAAAGAGCTCATAAAAATCTGTGAAATCATTTTTAGTACTAGAGAAAACAGTACGGCTCATAGGAAGATTACAAAAAATATCCTCAGAGTGTTGCTTAGACACACATGTTTATAAAAATATCCCTGCTTTAAACTCACTCCATTGGTCCAGCAAACACTACCTGACTATCCTGTGCACCAATCATATTGATTACCATACAAAATATATTCATCTTGAGTCAATGAATTATGGGCTTGAGCAAAAATGGATTTTTAAATGAAAGCTTCAATGATAGGCTGGCTTTGTCCAACACAGCTACATYACAGCCTCAGAGTCCTTGCTCCAAGTACAATGGTGAGATAAATGGCATTGATTACATGTTTGAAACATGAGGCCAGAATAAGCTGATTTCAAACCCAATTTATATGCCCCCCCTTATTTGTATATGTATGTGTGTGTGTGTGTGTGCGCGTGTGTGTGGAGGTGGGGGCTACTTGTATTTGGCGCCTTTTTGGTATTTATTTATTTAAGAGGGTCCTCATTAGTCTCTGCACAGGCAGAAACTACTCTTGCTGAGGCCCAAAACACACCAAATAAAACACATCAAAACAAAAACAATACAATCAACAACAAAACAAAATCAGTAAAACAAAACAAACTCAGAAACAGCTTTTTAAAATAAAGAAACCAATTTACAAAGCAAAATAAATCTATTGGCTCAAATTATGTATAAATACAATACAGAAGAAAATAAGGGAAAATCAATATTAAATC